GGTGTTGGGGACTCTGTGGGGCTGTGTGGGTCTGTGTGGGGCTGCATGGGTCTCCGTGGGACTCTGTGGGGCTGTCAGTGTGGGGCTGTGCGCGTGTGGGGCTATGGGTTTCTGGGTGTGGGTCTATGGGTCTGTGTGGTTCTGTGCACGTGGATCTGTGGGTGTGCGATTCTGTGGGTCTGTGGGTGTGAGACTGCGTGGGTCTGTGGGTGTCGGATTCTGTGGGTCTGTGGGACTGTGTGGGTCCATGCGCTCATTTCCAGGTCCCAGTTCGCGCTGAAGTTCCTGGACCCCTCATTCGTTCCCATCACCAACTCCCTGACCCACGACCTGCAGGAGAAGCCCTCCAAGTGGGCCTTCAACCGGACGGCATTTGCACACCAGAGGTGAGCACATGGCCGGGCCCGGTCTCCCCTGCTCGCCCCCCCGAGGGTGTCCCCGTGCCCCCAGGATTTAAGGAAATGCAATCAGGGACTGCTAAGTACTCTGAGCTCTGAGTAATTTGCCGGCAGTGAGAGACAGGGGCTGAATCAGAGCATTTCCCAGACGGCTACAGCTCTCTTGCAAGAACTGGTGATTTCGGAGCAGGACGCCGAGCTGCAACACGCATTATTTCACCGAGCAGAATGTGACCCACTTTCCCGGCGTGCGAGTGGGATTCTCATTACTTCCAGACAAATGGCTGGGGCTTTAAAACTTGAAGCAAACCGGGCTGAAGCAGCTGTGAAATGCCGCGCTGATGGAGGCCGACACAGCTCTCGGCAGATCTGAGCAAGTGCGGCTCCGCTCTGCTCCAGCTGCTCCGCTGAGGGGGCGGCAGAGCGGGGGGCGCGGATGGGGCCCTGGCGCCCACATCCCCCAGATATGGCTGCGATCGCCTCCTGGCCGCCCTCTGCGCTGCCTTCCCTGCTGCAAAGGGGCTGCCCCATTCCCTTGGCTTCCTCCAAGCTGCTCCTACTTGGTGGGAAGGAAAATGTGCTTCCATTTTCTCACGGCAGTGTGGATTTGGTGATATTTATTTGCTTTACTGGTATATATACATATATCAGTAAATATATACTTTATGCACTTTTTATACACATATACTTACTGATATATGTATTAAAATTTGCTGTAAAAGAAAATAAAAACATTCAGCCATTTAAGATAGCTCCTGCCATCTTGCACTGTAGTTTGGTCCTGACAGATGCCCCCAAGGAGCCACGGACCATGGAAAGACCCCATTTTGCCTGCCCCATCCTGTCCCCTGGCCCCCCAGACTGGTGTGACAGGGGCCACCCCTCGGTGTCTCTTCAATCCCGGCTGCCTTTGCACTTTCCCATTAGTGTAACCCCTAACGAGGGCACCCAGTGGGGCTCCGTTAATGCTCAGACATTGCAGGATGCAAGCTGGAAGAAAAGTTGTTTGTTTTCCCTAAACATGAGCAAATAAAGTGGTATTTGTTTTCTAATTGTATGTTCTGCTAGGGAAATTCCTGAGCAGGGCTGGTTTTGTTTGGTTTGAAGGATCCCTAATAACCCTTGTAAAAATGCCCACGTGCTTGCCCAAATAAAGCATTACAGAATGATATTTACATAAATGGAGACAGCGACTGTCACTTGGTTTTGCTATTCAAAGCCTCGTAGTGACAACACAAAAAAGTAAATATATTTAAAAATCAGCTCCTGTTAATGAATATCCTGGGCTGCTTGGTTCTGCTTCACAAACCTGGTGGCAAACCTGGTCCCCACCATTGCAAAGGTGTCCGGTCCCATCCCAGGAGTGGAGAGCACTGATGCACAGGGCAGGTATCACCACACAAGCAGAACTATGCCACACACCACCCCTCAGCACATAACTCCATGTTTTCTTCCTTTTTCTGCTTTACTTTAGGCAGGAGATCCTTCAGCACGTCGACGTGATAAAGAACTTCTCTCTGACCAAGAGCAGCGTGCGGATCGGACAGCTGATGCACTACGATTACTCCAGCCATAAGTACGTCTTCTCCATCAGCAACAACTTCAGGTCGCTGCTGCCCGACGTGTCGCCCATCCTCAACAAGCACCACAACATCTGCGCCGTGGTGGGCAACAGCGGCATCCTGACCGGCAGCCAGTGCGGGCAGGAAATCGACAAATCCGACTTCGTTTTCCGCTGCAACTTCGCTCCCACCGAGGCTTTCCAAAAAGACGTTGGGCGGAAAACCAACCTCACGACCTTCAACCCCAGCATCCTGGAGAAGTATTACAACAACCTCTTGACCATTCAGGATCGCAACAATTTCTTCCTGAGCTTGAAGAAGCTCGACGGGGCCATTCTGTGGATCCCCGCGTTTTTCTTCCACACGTCGGCGACAGTGACGAGAACGCTGGTTGACTTCTTTGTGGAGCACAGGGGGCAGCTGAAGGTGCAGTTGGCCTGGCCAGGAAATATAATGCAGCACGTCAACAGGTGTGCACTGTTGCCTTGCTTTTAACGTGCCAAAATGCGTGTTACTATATGCAAATGCTAAAATGCAAATGCTACTGTATTATTTTTCTGTTCTTGCCCGATTTGGTCAGCACAGTAAGTCAGGACCCAATTCTGCGTGCTTTTAGGGCAAACACAGGTCTGTTAGTGCTTCAGCTGGTGTTTGTCATTAAGTTATTTCTCAGGCATTTCGGCGGGGCAGAGGTGGGTGGGTTTTTGGCACCGGGGCACGCACCGTCGTACTAACACACCTTAAATCCCTCACAGGTACTGGAAGAACAAGCACCTGTCCCCAAAGCGGCTGAGCACCGGCATCCTCATGTACACCCTCGCCTCCGCCATATGCGAGGAGATCCACCTCTACGGCTTCTGGCCCTTCGGGTTCGACCCCAACACGCGGGAGGACCTCCCGTACCACTACTACGACAAGAAGGGGACCAAGTTCACCACCAAGTGGCAGGGGGCGCACCAGCTGCCCGCCGAGTTCCAGCTGCTCTACAGGATGCACGGGGAGGGACTGGCCAAGCTCACCCTGTCGCACTGTGCCTAAGAACCCGCACCAGCAAGTGCCAAACGATCGTCTAGAAAGTGCCCAAAACCCGATTGAACACCCTTCAGATTTAATTCTTAAACAAACAAAAAAAATACAACACAAAACCCCGCCCTGCAGTATTTTCCATAATATAAAGATGCTTTTTAGTCGCCCTTGTCACCGCTCATCAGAGGGTCTAAGCATATTTAGCAGTGCAGAAGCATTTATCAAATTCTGTGGATGCTATCCATGCAGCGGCAAAGTTGAAATATTTTGCATTTATAGATAGGCTTCTAAGTATGTTTTAAGGTATTTTCATTTTTTGGCGTACCCTGACTCTCTTAATTTTATTGCCCCTTCCCGATTAGAGTTAGAAATGCTGATTTTAAGAGGTTTCGCTTCTCTTGTATATGTTGCTGTCGATAGCTCAGCACCTTGCTGTGGTGAGTGCGGAAGCCGCTCGGGTTGCTCCTCATCCTCACCTGCAGGCTCTGCAGCGTGGATCCCCATTCCCACCGCTTGCGTACTTTCGTATGTACTGAATTTTACATTTTTTTAAAGAATAACGCGAAGGAGAAGGTCACAACACGGCTCATCCCTTAGCTCGACGTTCGCTATTCGTTAGCCCAATTAACGGGGCCGGGGCTGGCTGGGCAGGCACCGGCGGGGCAGGCGGCGGGGTTTTTTAATGTAAAAATGGATTTTAAAGGAAAGTGAGCACAGCAGGAGGGCAGGGAGGAGGAATATGGTTACCAGGTTCCCCGTTCACACCGCTAGCCCAAACAGCCGTAATTAGTGGCCCCGTTTTGGGGCACGGCTGTTGGTGGAGGGGACAACCCTTAGGGCCACTGATGGTTTGAAAGAGTCTCAGGAGAAGGGAGCCTGTGAAATAGCGGGGTTTCTTACTGCAGCGAGCATACTTGGAAGCATTTTAGTGTTTTTCTACTATTTGGTACGATGCTGAGAACTGACTACAGACTGAAAGATGCAAAACCCAAAGTAAAATCATACTTTAAAACAGCACGTTTTGGTTTTTCCCAGCCTCTTAGCCTGGGGGCAGAGGCAGGAGGTGAGGAAGGAGACCTGGAGTCCGACACCAAGCCCAGAGCAGCCCCCAGTGCCCGTGACCACCCCACCACGGCACTGCAGCCATGCCCCCAAAAACCCCGCACCCTGGGCAGAGGAGCTGGCAGCTTCCTTCCCCGCTTCAGTCACCCCACATCTTCTGGCTGTTGCTTTACCCAAGGCTGTTTGGGGGCGCGGAGGGGTTTGGGTCCCCCCATGCGCAGCCCACAGAGTCGTGCGCTGGTCGTTAACAAAGTGCAGTAATTAGTCATTTCGGGCATCATTTCCGGTTGAAACGTGGCTTTGCCAAGGCAGGCCAATGGCTTTGTGGTACAGGGGACAAGGGTCACCCCAAACCCCCAGTGATGCCTGTGGCTTGCGACTAGTGCCAGGTATTTTAATTAATTTAATTGTATCAGTTTTGCGTAGGGAGCAATCATTTTCAATCAGTGGATTAACGGAATATGAACTATTGTCATTACATTGGCGTGATATTCAACACGTCCGATGCCGGGGCAGAGGGATGGCGCAGCCGGGATGGGGAGGTCTCCAGCCCCAGATTGGCTGGAGGTGCACTGAGAGGTGCTGGAACTTTCCAGAGGCACAAAGAGGCAGCGAGGGAAGCACAAAAACCACTGCAAATATTCGGAAATGGGAATACAGAAAAATTATTGACGGAGCGCCATATTATATCATTGATTTTTAAGCAAAACTCCTCATCGATTTTTCAGAACCACATTGAACATTTCAGAATCATTGATTTTAATGGGGAGTTCTGCCCCAAAATCAATGGCGCAATACAGCCCAAAGTAAATTGCTTCTTAGTATCAATATTTTTTTGTCCAAGCTGTTGCAGTGTGGAAAACCATCTTAAATCCAGCATCTTTTGTTTTTGCCTGCTTTCCCCGATGCTCTTTGAGTTGTGCTATCGCATGGAGGGGCAGGGCAGCATTCGGGGGCTGAAGGGACCCATGGTGGCAATGAATGGGCTCAGTTTCACCCCATGCCTCGCTGCCAGGCTGGGCTCTTCCCCAAAAGCCATTTTCGGGCTGATTTTCTTGTAGGGCCTGGCATTAGAGGCAGAAAATGCCATTAAATAAGTAAATTTGGGACCCTGCCGTCGTCCCTGCTCAGGGCGGTGAATGGCGCTGGCGCTCGGCATCACCTTGGCTTGACTCCTCCTCTCCCCCTTCGTTTTGGCCCAAAATCTCCCTGCCTCTGCCCGCCCAAATGTATTGCTGCTGGTTCAGGGAAAATATTCACTGCTGTTACTGAATGTCCAGTTGAGTGAATATAGTGAGGTGAAAGTACCCATAACACCGCATGATCAAAACAAGTACAGAATGGTTTAGTTCATGACATTGGTGGGGTTGGGTTGATGGTTGGACTTGGTGATCTCAGAGGTCTTCTCCAACCTTAACGGCTCTGTGATCCTGTGGAAATCAGGAGAAATCCTTCCCAACATCTCCAAGGGAAGGGTCCGTTGGGATGTGGGCCCAGGACAGAGCATCCCGCCCGGGATGGGTGCTGGGGACCCACAGCCATCAGTGGGGCTGGGGTCTGCGGAGAGGGGTGTACATAGGAGTGCGTGCGTGGGGTGTGCACAGCGTGTGTGTGCTGCCTTCTCTTCCGCCATCCACCTCGGGTTCGTGTTTGCCATTGCTTGCATCTTTTCAGTGAAGATACATGGGAACAAAGTCATTTTGGCTAGCGGTTTTGATTGTGGAGCATACCAAAAAGTGAGCGTTTGTGAAATACGACAAACTGAGAACGGGGGTTGCAAAAACTGATTGTTTAGGGGAAAAAAAAAAAAGCAGGTTTTCTGTAAATGAATGTCTTTATTCTAATGGCTATACAGTTCAATGCCTGATGGAGTTGTTTTCAATAAAAAAAGATAAATATAAAAAAAAAAAGAAAAAAAATTGCCATAATTGTAATAAAGAGTTCGTTATTTGATGGCCATACTTAAAGCATTGTTTATTTTGAATGTCTGATGCTGACGAAGGCCAGGGCACAGTCTCAGGTGAACGGCCGTGGTGTGAGGTGCGTTGAGGGCACGGCGGGCGCTCGGCCTCGCCCCCGGCAGGGCTCGGTGGCGGCGGGGGACACCGAATTGGTGCCAGCCAGGCCCTGGCCCCAAAAAAAACCCTCTCGTGGCACAGCCCCGCGGCCCCGTGGCGAGCATCGCCCGTGGGGAGCAGCGCAAGGGCCCGTTTGGGGTCTCTCGGCAGCGTGGCTCTTTGGTGTTAATGTGCCTGCAACATTGACTCATGTGCCAAAACACGATACTGAATGCATTGTTTTTAAATAAAATGTTTTACTGTGCAGTGGAAGCCTGTACAACTCGGCTGTGTCCGCGTCTTCCTTCTTGCAGCTTCCTCAACTGCTCTGCTGAGCACCAGGTCATCGTTTTGATATGTGGTGGGGTTGGAATGGGCTCAAATCCTATGAAAGCACACCCAGGTACTGCACCCTACCCAAAAATGAGCACAGCTCCAATGCCTGCCAGCTCCCCGGGGTCTCAGCTCCGCGTCCCTGGGTCTCAGCCCCACATCCCTGGGTCTCAGCCCTGCATCCCTGGGGTCTCAGCCCTGCATCCCTGAGTCCCACATCTTGTTCCTTGCCTCCTTTGTCACCACGCTGATGAGCACAAATTACCCTTCACGCTAATGAGCCCAAGCAGCTCGTGCCCTCTCCCACTAGAACTGATTTCTTTCCTCCTGAGTGGGTAAACAGGGAGACCATCCGCAGATTCAAGCACACTTACCAGCTCAACAAGAATCCAGCTGAAATAATTATGCATGATCCTGCATATCTCAAAAAGGAGCAGAGTCCTGTTTTCAGAAAAGTTCCCAAATTTGGGGTGTCTGCAGTGGAAACCTTCTCCCCTTTTGCTTTTCGTGGGCTTCCACCCTGCTGCTCTCTGTGAAATTGTGGACTCCAGGGCCTGCGTCCAGCTTTTCCATGGATCTGGCCCTAACCACGAGGTTTTACTGGGAAGCTCCCTCAGAGGAGCTGCCAAAGGCCCCATTTATTGCTCCCTGTATTTCACAGTGCGGTGCAATGAGTGGAGTGTGACGGCTCAGGCTCTGCGCTCCTGTGAAATCTGTGGTGCTGCAAATCATGTAAATCAGCCTTACCCCCTGCTCCACGCACTCCTGTGCACTCGGGCACTCTCGCCACCAAAATGTATTTAAAACCCACACTTCTACATAAACTGGAGAGCTCACTGTCCCGGTTCGAATGGGTGGATCTTCCCAGAATAGGGCTAATAACTTGGACAACCAGTTATTAAAGTTTGGAAAATATTTTAGTAGGCAATGTTCAGTCCAATGTAAATGAAAAAGCATGATCTGCCTGTGGTGCTCGCCTGCTGCCCATCCTGAATATCTGCTACATCTGATATGTTCATCCCTGAAATGACCGTGGGAGAGGGGCAGGTGCCACCGTCCCCATGTGAGGGGCCGGACATGGTGCATGGGAGGGGACTAATGAAATATTGATGTGGCCCCCTCGGGGTCTCTCCCCATCCTGCCCATGTCACCCCCACATCCCCCCCTTGCTGCATGGGGAGCACCAGGACACCCTGTCCCGAGGGCCCCAGCCCTGCCGGGCGTCTCCACGTCAGCGTCGTCATTTCCCAATGCTGCCCTCAAGCCAGACACACTGGGGCCCTCCTGCTCCAAAATAAATATTACAAACTGAGCCCAGTTTTAATCTTTAACCATGACCCTCCTCAGCCAACTGTGCCATCGGCCACCCCGGGACGGCCCCATGCCCCCCTCGCAGCCGAGCCGGGGCTGTGCCATGAGCAGTGCAGAGCCAAAACCCACCCACCCACTGCCCTGGACCCCTCATCCACCTGGGACACTGTGCCATGGGGGCTGATCCCCAAAAAAGCTGCTGTTTCTGCCCAGCGAGGATGCCCAGATGGGGGCCCTGGGGCTGGTGGC